CCTAGCCCCCCCCCCCCCTGTTCCGCCGCCACTGGACTCAGAGGGCCGATAGTTTTCGCAACTGCTCCTGGCTAGGTGTAATAAATGTATAAAATTCCACTCACAATTTCCATCTACAATTTCAATCCACTTAGTTTTCCTACTTTAAGAATAAGAAGTTATCTCAGAAGCTGCATTTGGAGACAGATCAAGATTCACCGTCCGACCATCAAGAAATTACTGAAAAATACGAGAAACTCAAGGTACTGTACACTAGTCTATGTATTTATATACGCCTAGATGTTAATATCGTCTGCGAGATCTATTTTCCTGCAAAACTTTCTAGCAAAGCCCGAAACTGTACCGTCTACTGCCTTTCTCAAAGGGTCAGAAATTTGCCCAGAGTATCAGACTCGTAAATGATTTAGGTTAGGAAATGGAAAATCACTGACGATCGAAGTTCGTAGTTGTGACAAACCACGGCAGCTTGTAGTATTTAATAAAGATATCTTCAAATTAGGACTAAAAACTAACGTAGGACCAAAAAAAATGTTACAACTTTACTATTAATTTTACTTTGATTCCCTCTATATATAGAGTACGATGGCGAACAGACATGAACACGAACAACAAGCATTGGACGCGGTTACAAAGCGTGAGTTTCAAAGTTGTGTGTAGCCAGCAGAGACTATTATTCTGGCCTGTTAACGTTTACTGCGAATTTGTTCGGAGCTAAAGGGAGGATCACGACGGAGTATTGTCACAGCCTCGTACCCAGGCCTCTTTATAGAATTGCTGCGCGTGCTTGCTCAGTCGTGCTACTGTTTTTCTGTTCTGTATATTGTAAATAACAGCTAAGCGCGGTTTCGTCTTGCGCATTCCTTTTATATAAGCGCTTGGGTACGCAGGTTCACTTGGAGGGAGCTTGCGAGTTGGGTGGAAAAGAACTTTTACCGTTGAACCATCCAAGGACATTGATACTCCCATTCCGATTCCTAGAAATCGTGTTATTGTTACGCTATTGTCGTCGTCCTTTCTTGAGCTCCTAAATGTTGATACATGCATCTTCTGCACAAACCATGTTGGACTCCTGCGACGTTAAGGATTTTGTTCACGTTTTATTTCTTATTGAAGCATCAAGTATGCAGTTAGTTTTAGTTGACATTTTGTTCATATAACGTTCTAATAAATATTTTTAAATCTGCGATATTAGTTCCTAATTTTCCTGACACTGCTATAAGCGGTAAAGGTATGTCTCTAAATTGCGTTCCGATGTAATCCCGCTTTGACAAATCTTCCAAAATGTCGATTTTATTCGCTACTATGGCAGCAGGAAGCGAGGACAAGCCGGGCTTGTATAAATCTAGTTCTGTCTTTAACATGTTAAGATGTGAGACGGGACTGTCCAAGGAGATATCTATAACGTACAGCAGGCAACGACATCTTTCAATATGACGCAAGAATGAATGACCTAATCCTTTGTTCATATGAGCGCCCTCGATAAGGCCAGGAATGTCTGCAACTGAAAGAAAATGGGAATGGAATATTAAACTTTATTTAAACTTGATAGCTCTATGAGTTCTTGATAGTTCTATGAGTTCTTGATAGTTCCTATGAGTTCTTGATAGCTCTACGAGTACTTGATAGCTCTATGAGTTCTTGATAGCTCTATGAGTACTTGATAGCTCTATCAATTTAGGGAGCCATGGAATGACGCTACTTCCATAGTGTAAGAATGTAACTCCAAATTCAAAACTTTAAAACTTAGATGAATTAAGAATTTGGGAGTTACAGGCAAACTACGAAAATCATGTGAAGCCAGTGGAACCAATCTTTCTAAAAGTATAGGCTAACAACTCCAAAAATCATGTATAAGCTTCAATTCAATGGTTGCACCGACCAAGCGATGATCGCATAAAATCTACAGGTATGAACTGTTCTCCCTATAGGAAATCTGTAC